ATGCTACCCATATTGTCTTCTGCCTGAGCAGATTTGTCATGTTGAAAGTGCAATAGTGCCATCTAGTGATGCAAACATAACTTTGCCATGCAGAGATGGCTGTGACCCAAGTAATGCCACCTTCCCCGACCTGGAGCCCTCCCGATATTTTGGGTCATTCCCTAGACTCTCATCCTGGCTAAGAGTTCTGAGAATCGGTCCAATACATCTGGAGGGCATCATGTTGGGCACTAATGCATGAGGGAAGCTTTCTTCAGCCAAGAGTCCTCCAGGTTGTGATGAGATGCAGTCTAAACAGCTGGAAGGCAAGAAACTGTAAGAGAGGAGGATGGATTACACTGACGATTGCCACTGTGGATGACACCTTGTGCTTTTATTCTGCTTTAATTTGGAAAGTGGTTTGGTTTTAGGGTAGCAGCTGTGCTCTCCCGATCCCATTTGTAATGGAACAGACAAGCGAGAGCCCTTTTGCATGAAATGCATGGCACGAGGTACAGGACATACACGATAAGGACTATATTTCATCCATAACTCAAGTTGAGGGAATGGCCAGATCGCCTCTCAGCTTAATCTCTCCTCCTCCTTCTTTTGGCAGAGGAAAGAGCCCAGCGGCCCAGACTTCAGCTCAAGCCCAGGACAGTCGCTACGCCCCTCAATCAAGTAGCCAATCCGAATTCTGCCATCTTTGGTGGAGCCAAGCCAAGGGAGGAAGTAGTAAAGGAGCATGACTGAGGGCACTCAGGGGGCAAGAGTGGGGGAAACGGGATTGAGGGAGGGGCTGGGTGGGGGTGGGAGGAAACGCAAGACAGCCCAGAGTGTCTAACTGAGCTCAGAACATTAACCCCGCAGCCACCATTCCTACCATCTGACACTTGTCCTCCTTGAAACCGAAATGGAAAAAAAAACAAACAAACCAGAGCTTGTGAATGCATGTCAGCTGTTAACAAGTGGTTTTTAGTACATTTTTGGCTTTGCTGTACGTAGTGCCTGCATTCTCTTAAGTTCCCCCGCCCCAGCCTTCCCTCCTTCCAGGCTCAGTGCTGGCTTTCAGCCAATATAGCACCATCCTCTTCCACAGATGTGGTTCTCTTTAATCCAAGGTGCTGCTTCACCTTTTTCTTCCTTTCTGACGCTTTCTTCTTCCCAGACATGTGGGTCAGACTTCAGTCCTGCTCACCTTGTTCCCCTCTGCCTTCCACGGTGCTTCTCTATCCGCTGCATGTTTAGCCACCCTCAGTGACCCTCAACCCAAAAGAGTCCTGTCCAAGTGAAAGTGTTGCAAAAAGCTTCTGCAACACAGGTTTAAGCCATTGGGCACTTTGGAATAGATCCAGAATCAGTTTCTTCCTGGACAGTTTAAAATGTAAACTGCAGCAAGAGCAAGAGATCCCATCTGGCCTGGGCCCCACTGGTACTGCACAGGCCTCTGCCTGGAGCAGAGGTGGTGTGTCTGCATCCAATTCTGGCGTGGAAAATGCAGTTTGATGCATTCTTGACTTGGCCTATGCCATTCCCACTAGTGCTTAGAGGCTGGTGCTGTTGAAGTTTGTGCCGATTCTGTAGCACCCAGGACCTTCTTCAAACATACTCTGCGTTTTGTTTTTTTTACAGAATTGCGAATGGCTTTCTAACTAATTTCTTAAACACAATAAAGGTTTTTTTTTTTCTTTTGGGAGGTTGGAGGGGCTTTGTTGTGAATGAAATGGTGTCTAACTTTGCCACGCCAGCATTTGATTCTTTTCAGTATGATTTGCTTTTCCTGTTTAGCTCCTCAAATAAATGGAGTGGGGAGCACTACGTTCTGTAGTTCCAACTGGCATCTTAACGGCACGGAGGCCTAGCAAACTGAGGTGGCTAACAGATGTTCATTCCCCTGGTGTCTCTGTGTGAATAAATTCTGCTGGAAAAGACTGAATGCAGCAAATAACTTACAAGGAAAGAAGTACTGAACAGTGATGTAAACTTGAAGAGATGTTTGTCACCTGCTCAGCTGTCCAATTTGTAGAATTTGTGGCTCAGTCTGGGCAGAGTGGGATTACCTGCAGTGCCTGACTTCAGTGCTAACATATCTTATTTGTAGCTTTGATACAAATAACAGGATAGAAACTGGCAGGTATTGGAGGCTTTCTCTTTCCTGGGGCTTCCCCTCCTATTAAATGCTGAATCTTGTCCAATTTCTAAAAACAGGTCTCTCAATTTGCAGAATTAATTAGCAGATATCCAAAAGCAACATTTATTTGAATAAATAAAATTATTAGCAAAGATCTTCATAATTTACAAAAGAGCAAACTTTTCTTTTCCTGACCTCCTTGTAATCTGAGTATATTTTTGAGAATAAGAACCATTTGTTTAACACTAACTTTCTTTAAGACATGCACTGTCTGTCTGTGTGGTTGTGTTCTAAACAAAATCCACCCAATAATCTCTCTTCCACTGTAAATATGGAAGAACCAAGATTTTAAGAGCAAAAACAAGACTTCTCCATGCAAGGCTCACTCAGTCGATCCATTTGATTTTTAAATGTGTAAAGAGAAATTTCCAAACACTTAACACATTCTGCTTCATGACAAAGTAAATTTATGGATATGGTATTTTGTGAATGATCTTTTAAATAAAGAAAACATTAAGTAATATTTAAGGCTGGTCTGTGTTGAAGTTTGTTGGCAATTTGGGGATAGAAGAGCTATTTCTACCAGCTGATTCCTTCAGTTTTTAGACTGGGGGAATGTGGAGTGCTCCTGAGGGTTGCATGAGGGTGTTCCATCACTGACTCCTGAACTCAAGGTAGTTTTGTGAAGTACAGTAGAGTCTCGCTTATCTGACATAAACGGGCTGGCAGAACATCGGATAAGCAAAAATGTCGGATAACACACAGTAACGATTGAGTGCGATTAAAAAAAAAAACCGATCCACTGCGCCTGTTGCAATCGATTTTTGCGTTGAGGCGCCGCACCGTCAGGAGCAACAAGAAAGAGTACACTCGCAAACAAGCGGCACACTTTTCTCATCGCCGATTTATGCGTGTTATGTTTTTTTTAGGGCCGTTGGATAAGACAGAATGTCGGATAAGCGAAGGTCGGTTAAACGAGACTCTACTGTATTCACTCTTGCAATCCTTAGATGTGCATCTTTCTTGATCCTGTGTGTTACTTTTGTACATTGGAAAGAAGCAAATTGTTCTTTATTATGAGACTAATTCAAGGTTTAAAAGTGAAATCTGTTCAGAAGGGAAAACGGATTTTGCTTCATCACTGGGATACATTTTCAGGGCAGTTGTTTGGATCCTATCAAATCGATGGCTCTTCCTGTTATGGCTCCACCATATATGCCCTCTGTTCTGAATATACAACAACAAGAACAATTATTATGGTCCAAGACCAGATCATGAAAGTTCAAACAACCAAATGCAATCTGAAAGGAGAAACTAAAAATGCAACACAATCTTGAATTGAGCAGTCTATTTCTGTTGTCAGATCTGAATGTACCAGAGCCTGATGGCTCAAGCTTACAGGTGTACAGATACCTGTACAGGGATTTCAGGATGCTTCTCTTTTAGGAATAATTCTAAACACCACTGGTCAGAACAGCCAGATAGTCTACCTATTCAGGGTTGGATTAGTAGGAAACACAATTCTTTGTAAAATCTGGATTTTCCAAAAAGTTCTGAGGTTTCAATTTCATCCAAGGCAGAGGAACAACCTCAGCTCTGATCTGGATGGTTGTGAGACGGGAGCAGATTTGGGTGGGGGAGACACAATTGTCCAGTGGTTAAATTCAGTATGGGACAGTTCCTATTGAATAATTTTAAACGTTTTAGAAGCGAATATGTGTAGCTCAGGGTTGAACTGTGGAGTCCTCGGGGTTCTCTGAGCTTGGTTGCTTTCTTGCAAACATTTCGTTACCTGGCTAGGTAATATCTTCAGTGCTAGAATGGAAGGGTTTGCTCTCTGTTTGTATACTGTGGCATGTCCTGCCACACACACACACCCCCCGCCCAACACTGGCACTGACTAGTATGCTAAAACTCTTGATCTTGAGTATTTTTGTGAGAAATTGTATTAAGTCTTAATGTGGAAATCAGTCTCTATTTTCTCAGGGATTTTCAGTGGTAAAGTCTCCTGGAGAACTGAAAGGTTCCCCTATTAGTTTTTTTTTTTAATATTACCATTGCTGATGTCCAATTTCTGTTAATGTGTTCTTTTGTTTAGGGATTGGCCAGTTTGCCCGATGTAGAGTGTAATGGGGCATTACTGAAATTACTGCATATACCATGCAGAAGGATGAAATGCCTGCTTCCTTGATAGTGGTGGGCGACATTATTCAATCTTGTAATAGGGTTCCCAGAGTAGATACAGAACAGAGATGGCATCTGAGCCTGCTGCTAGGTCTGATTCCTGTGTCAAACGTGATAAGATCTGTTGCAGCTAGTTATGGTCACTGTTACATTTCCTTTTGCTGTTAACTGCTTCCTCAGGGCTATATGCTACGCATCTGATGTAGACTGATACATGAAACCTTATACCTTTGTCTTTGATGCCATAAGTTCTGTTTTTGTTGCAAAAAGCTCCTGACAACTATCCCCCCTCTAAATACTTTCCATAGTGTTTTTGGACAATGCATTTACCAACATGCATAATATTGGGTGCACTTTTCCTGAAACTTAGAATTCATTGCAAAAAATCCAAGAAGTGCAGATCTTGAAGAATGATTACCTTTTGGCTTGGCCCTTACTTTAGATGCTTGGTGGCCTAAAATAGCTGTGCATTACATTCATTAACACACTAAATTAATTCTTCTCCAGTCACTTGAGCTAAGCTACACAATCTGCATGGGAACTGGTCAAGACAAGTTTCTAGTTTCGTGCTCTGCACCTTGTGGTTAATGAGAGAACCCCTCGTCCAAATCTGAAGGGCGGATGTTGGGTTGAGTGAGTCACAGGTAACAGGAAGCTAGAGGCCAGCTCACAGTTGCAGTGAGCAAGTGACCACATACCGCTTGAATGCAAGACCGCTAGGTAAGAGATGGCCAGAGTGCTAAGGACCAGCAGCGGCTGCATCTTAAGAAACCTCTAAACTCTACAAGGTATGATGATCTTCCAGCATCTATTGACCCCCCATTTTTGGCTTCTGGATTTGATGCCAGCCTCCTCCTCTCTGCCAGAACACACTGTCTCTAACCTAGTTTAATGTCCCTTTAGATCCCTCTTTTTTTCTTTGTAAAAATTGAACAGGGAACAAAAATGATCCCCCAAATTAAGGTCAAAATGAAAAACTTAAGAAAATGGCATGATGTTTGGTATAGATTTATATAACAATTCGGAACTGCCATGAAACCTGTGTATTTTCATCAGGCTTAAACATGCTGGGGTCCAGATGTTCCCCTTGACTCCCCAGGATGCCTTTGACAACCTTATCGTAGTTTTGTTTCACCTTTTTCCTAGGCAGATGGCCAAATTTCCTAACAAAGTGCTGGACTGCAATCCCCTCATTTGTATTTTTATTTTTTAAGGCATGCTAGAGGCTTTTCCTTCTTTTGCGGTGTGGTCTCTTTCCCTTTCTTGCATTAATTTTTTTTTTTTTAAGTCAAAAAGTCAAGCCACTGTGATCTCAGGATTTTCACCTCCAAGTAAAATTTTTACATACATAAAGTATCCCTTCCTGGTTTAGATTTTAAAATAGGTCAGATTACTTCCTGCTGAAGACTCTTATAATCTAACTATGGCTATAAAAACAAGGTTTTAGTAACAATGAGTTGGGCCTTTAAGTGTATAATACAATATTTATTAAATATTTTATTTGTTAAATTGTTTTATTTAATGTCAAGTCTAGGTTATATTTGTAACTTGTTCTGGGGCCTTTTGGCTGTAAAATTTTAAAAAGTCAAGCAAGGCAGAGAACCTTGTGGTTACTAAAGGAATCTGAATAGCAGATGTTCAAACTAACACATTTTAGACATCTGATGAAGGCATCTCACAAAACCTTATCTCTTTTAATAACATATTAATCTGAAAAGCTATCACGCTCCTGATTCTTAGCTACTGTAGACTAACCCAGCTTCCATGCAATGGGTAGTAAAGGAGTAGGCAACTAGGTTTGACCTACAGGAAAGAGCCCTCTGGGTTCTAGCCCTTTGCTATAGTGGCCTCCTAAGATGAACCCCTCAAATGCATGCATGCGTTTGTGTATTTACTGATTTTAGGCTTGTGCTCTTTCTCACAAGTCATTGCCCTGAAGGGTTGCAACTCTGCATTCTGTCTTGGCTGTTCTTTCGAAGACCAAATTTCTTTATAACAGCTGAGTTGCACAGCGATACAAACTAGTGTGGAATCGTGTTCAGGGGACAGAATCTCGTTTGCTTTTTGTTTTAATCCACAAACTCCCCAATTGCACGATGCCATATTCTTGTGTAACTCTGCTGTAGTACGACAATATTTCCATTAGGAACAACGGGTCCGTCACATTGGGAATGAAGTTTTTCCCCCCTTAGTAGGATATCCTCTTTTTCAACTTTTGGGTGAGTTGTCCTCTGTTTCCACTGACAGCTGATTAGTTTTGCAGTCAGCACATGCTAACTGTGCCAGGAAGGCATTGCACTTTTAAAAAGCTATTTTTAATGAGCAGCAGCTTGGGTTGGTGGCTGTTGGAGAATTAGCAGTAATAGCAGCATGTCCTTTCTTTGAAGGAATCTGTTTTTCAGGGGTGGATCAACATGTCAGCAGTCTTTTTGTACCTGGATTGTAGTTCTAGAAGTAGGTAAGAAATTGCCAGAAAATGGTGATGGGGCTTCCCACTGATTTCTGATCTTAAACTTTACATATAAGGTTCCCCCTGCCATCAAATAATTGGTATTTGCTCTGCTTATTATCATGGCTCTGATAGTGCTGTCCCATCCCTCTAGCTCCCAGCCGGCAGAAATAAAATAACTAAAAAAGTATGCCTCCCTTAGCAGTGGAAAGTTGTTACGCTGCTGTTTCTCAGCATTCATTGCCATATAAGAGAGAAGTACTGTATTTATCTTTATATGATAGTCTCTTGCCAACATTGCATCTATACATACAAATTTAAACACACAAATTTCATGCAAACCTGCATTCTTTATTCTCGTTTTGGTAGCCATCATGATGAGTAATTCTTGGTAGCTAGCAATGGCTTCATTTGCTGGAAAAGATTATGTCAGAACTGTAATATTTTGGGATATATAGGGATGGGCGTACACACACACACACACACACACACACAGGCTTTATATTAATTTTTCCCACAAAGGTGTTAATTCTATGTAAAAAGTCCTGGTCCATCAAAAATGGCAGTGTTTCTCAACTCAAAATTCACTAGTTAGTGCAGTGTTTCTCAACTTTGGTAACATTAAGAAGTGTGGACTTGAACTTGCAGTTGAAGTCCACACATCTTAATGTAGCCAAGGCTGAGAAATGCTGAGTTAGTGAAGAGAGAGGATCTCCTGGGGTTCAGCTGAAAGCTAGTTACTACTTGCCCGCTTTCAGAGAGGATGTTAAAAATGTTCCCCCTTCCCAGACATTTCTGCCAAGTCACATTAAGTCCCAGTATTATTACTTTTGGGATCTAGCACAGAAATTGGATTACAATTTTGTTTCGAAAGGAATAACAATTATGACCCTTTTCTGATCATTTGTGAAACTGAAAACACCAGAGCAGTGGAAGAGAACTGGTAGGTCCTCTTGGTGGCAATTACTGCATAGATAATCTTTGTGTGTGTCCCTTTGAGTCAGTCTTGACCTCTGGAGGTGGTCTGGAGAAGGCCTTGCAGTTTTCTTGGCAGCATTTTCAGAAGTGGCCTGTCCTTGCCTCCTCCTTCCAAGGGCTAAAAAATGTCACTGGTCCAAAGTCACCCAGCTGGCTTCATGCCTATATCAGGACTAGAACTCATGGTTTCCCGGTTTCTAGCTTGGTGCCTTAACAATTACACCTGGATCTTTTACATGCAAATAACTGAATACATCAACAATCAATTGTTCAGTTAATCAACAGCATATTCTCACTTTATCCTCTGCCGAAATACTTTTTTCTCCATTCCTTTTTCTCCCTTGAAAGCCATAATCCAGTAAAGAGAGGTCTGTGGGGAAACCCCAAAACACTCAAATAACTCCTAAACTTATATTTAACTGCTTTCTTAAACTGTCTTGCAAGAGAAGAGTTGATCAATCAGACCATAATTTAAATACTGAACTTTAGAGTGGGTGGGGCCTTGGGAAATTGGAGGGGGGCTGCCTTTGAGTCATTGTTGACTCCTGGCAACTGCCTGGACAATTCTTTACAACTGCCCCCCCCCCAAAAAAAACACTAGTGTTGGGCGGGTTGTCTTCACTTGCAATGGGAAGGGTTTCTGGTTGCCCTCCCCAATCATAAGAGTTGCATAATTTCCAGTGCAAAGCTGTCATAGCAAAAGCCCCTAGATTTTCCTCCTTGCTGGGTATGAATCTTTGTTTCCGATTCACTTTGTTCCACTTGAGTTGCTAGATCACTTATAAAGCGTATGCTTTGAACGTAGAAGTTTCCAGGTCCATCCATATCTAGATATGGCTGAAAAATTCCTGCCTAAAACCTCTGAAGGTGCTGCCAGTCAGTGTCGTCAATATTGGACTAGCTCAACGTTTCCCAGACTGGGTACTCTCGTAATGTGTGGGCTTCAACTCCTAGAATTCTCCAGCCAACATGGCCATTACTGAGAATTCTGAGAATTCATCCCAAATACCAGAAGGGCTTCTGGGTAGGAAACTTGAGGATAGATGGACAAATAAAAACATCCCATATATAGCAGTTTATTCTGTACCTTATAGTGGGATAAGTGGGAAGATGAATATTAGAGCCTCTCCAAATAGGATTTTGAAGCATCTGTGAGTTGACTTAAGAAGAATGCATCCATTATTTACCTACATTAACAATCCAGATAGTTCAAATATTTCTAAGATGCTTTTCAGCAGCTGGCAGGGGAGCAAGGGTAAGAGAGGGGTATATGTCTCCATCTCTTCCTTATGAGCACCTCAGAGGCATCTGGCTGGCCACTGTGGGAAGCAAAAGGTGGGCTGAGATGGCCCTTGACTAGCCACTGGCTTTAGATTTCACCACTATAAGTTTGTTGTAACATCTTATGGGCAACTTGTTGCTTCACCTTTTACTCCCAGGGGTTATCGTTTTAATTTCAACCACAGAAAAGAAAGGGAGGATTGCATTGAGATATTGGGGCCAACATGATAATAGGTTATGTGAATCAATTCCAACTGAATTTGAACGGTCAATTCAAGTTGAATCAGTGATTCAGAAAATCAGTTTAACTGAAGTGGGTTAATTTGATACACAAACTCTATTTTCCTTAAACAATTTGAAGTATCATTGAATCAATATGAATGCATTCAGTTCAACTCACCAGTTCACTTTGGAAAACTGATTCAAATCAAAGCATTTATTAAAGATTTGCATGACCCTTCACAACAGAATAATTTGATTGCATCCTTTCCCAGCCTCCTAATTTTCACTCCCATAATTGCCCAGCTAATAAGGCCATTTTAATTTCTCACAGTGCCCACAGTAGCATTAATTTGGCACTGGAGCATAATTTGTGCTCCCACTATCCCAATCAATTTTATTATTTACTACAGTTATATAGCTGTCTCATAACACACATTATTCGGCTTCACAAAACCAATACAGCATTTAAGTACAATACGGAATAATAACATTTATTTAGTTGATTTAGTATATTAATACTAACGTACACATTGCCCAATCAAAAATATTCCAGATGGTTTACAGTAGAAAAGCATAGACTTTAAACTTCCCTCAAATGAACCTGTGGGTGCAATGTGAGTGGAGAAGTATTCCCACTTCCCTGTTTTTACTACCATGATATAGCCTCCTAAATATGGACATGCAACTAAGTTCAGTCACATCTACTCTTCAGTTTCTGCCATCTTTGCTCTAAGAGTGTCTTCTGTCACTCCATCTCCTGGAGTTTCTTCGTAAACCAGGCAACAAGAAATCAGTCATTTGAGAGCCATCTCATCCCTTGTCCTTGTTGCCTCTGATAAGATGAATGGTGACAGTGCCTGCCCAGTGAATCAGAAACTCAAAGGGACAATCAGGTGCCTCCGGCAGACTATTGTAACAACTCCCATTCCTGCAGATGTCAGATACACTAACAAAATGCATAGTGACCAGAAAGTGATCTGACCATGACAAAGGAGTGATCACAATGTCCTTCATCTTCATATCACACATCATCTTTAAAGGCATCTTTAATGGCATCTGGAAGGAACCTGGGGGAAGAATATGTACGTCCTGTTGAGCTCCAGAGGAAAGACAAGATATAAGTCTAGTAACAAATATATCAAGCAAGAGTCAGAGCTACCCTCTCATCATTTCTATTGAGTCTTCCCCTGTTTTTGAATTAAGGATCCTGTTCTACGAAGTCGTTGGAGGTTGGGTTGCCTCACCTTCCTTCTTTCATCTGTGTTGCTCTTGTCTTTTTAAGACTGGAACTACAGTAAGACCAAGCTATGGGCCAAGTGGAGCTGATTTGGGGTGCCTTTTCCTTGATGATGCTGGGGGCCCTTATCAGCATGTGCATGAAATGTCAACAGACTGGTAAGGTCTTAATCTCTTACTTTGATTAGCTGAGGTCTGAAACCTTGATCAGTGTAATTCTGTGGCTGAAATGCCATATATTTGTTCATAGGGATAATAAGTTGCAACCAATCTCTAATATATAGTAGAAATCACAATAATCTCTTGTACAGACAAAGCAGTGGGTGAGAATTCAAAGCTCTGTCCATATGCTCACTAAGCAGTGTTACAAAAACACGGTTGCTCCAGCAAAGCTTTGCCCGTCTGTAAAATGGGTATGAGGATCATCCCCAGCTCCCAATTCTGCAAATACACTTGCTTGAATTGGTTTTCCTTTTTCACCTCTCCCCTCCTCCTGCATATTACTTCTTTGGTGGTTAATTGCTCCTGTTTCATTCTTCCCTCCTCTCTTATAATTAATTTAATTTTAGCTCTCAAAAACTCTCCCGTTTTTGTTTCTTCTCCACCTTCAGGGAGTAAACAGGTGAAGGCAAATGTGGACAGTCACAGAACTCAGTAAGTAGAGATCATTCCCATGGTCTTTCCTGAACTGTAGTCCCAGTGTGATGACAAGAATATGAACTGCCCCCCCCAAAGCAGTTAGAGTTTTGGGGGTGCTCAACAGTTTAAGAGATTCATGCAGAAATGGGGGTAGCGAGTGCTGTTCGGCAGGGCCCAGGAAGAAAGCCTTTTCTGTTGTGGCCCCCGCCCTCGGGAACATCATCCCCCCAGAGATCACATCAGCCCCATCCCTACTGGCTTTCTATAAATATGTAGTTTTGCCATTAGATGCGGGGACCCAGGTGTGTGGTAGAGCCTGTACATGGCATTCAGACAAATCAGCCATCAATAGACACACACAGATAAACCACATTTACGCACCATTCAGAAGAGACAATAAAAAACCTAGGAAGGAAACAAAAAGACCAGAACACATCCTCTCCAGCAGCCAACACTCAGATAAGCAGGGATCAGCACCAAACAAATAATCAAGCAGAAAACAATACCCTAAGCAAGAAACTACCAAGGAGAAAATCACACCCCCACCAAAGCTGGCAGGGCAAGCTACTGCATATAAATAGGGAGCAAACCCCACACTCGCTAGCTGATGATGTTACCTAGTTGGGCGATGAAATGTCTGCCAGCAAATAACCAAGCTCTGAAAGCACCAAGAACTCCATTGTTCTTAAACTCTTGCTGGTAGTCCACAACCCTCGCGCAGGAGGTCAAACTTTGCAACTACAGTTAGAAGATGCAACCATGGAGAGCCACAGTATGAGTACTGACCCATAGGAATAAAGACCAGGCCTGATTTAAAGCTACTTTCTATGAACTGGAGGTGAGTGACTTACAGCACCTCAGCCTAATTTCAAACACTCCAAAAGTGAGGAGAGGAAGGGGAAAAGAGGAGTGATCTGCCCCAAGTGCACTGAGTTATCCTGCTTATGTTGCATTAGTCTTTCAAATCTGTCCTCCCACACATTGCGTCACTTGCCACATGTGTTTTAATGGCTGTAACTATCCACATCACAACCCTTAAATCCTCTTGCGCTTGACCAAGCTTAGTTGGCCACCTGATCCAAAGAGGTCGATTCCTCCTAGGACCAGCCAACCTGAGACTCCTCCACTGGAAAAATAAGTGCTCAACATCAACAGCTCATGTGAGCAGCTGAAAATCACAACTCTTTTGAAAACCACAACTCTTTTTATCTTACCATTTCTGTTTACTACTTCTCATCGTTCCCATCGTTCATCTGTTTTGAATGGAAAGGATCTTCCTTGGCATTTCTGCTGTACTGTGAGTTAATTACTATTCAGTTTGCCCTAGCCATGAAATAATAAACTTACTATGGACTTTGGGGACATGAGAAACCCTGGAATTGCAAACGGTCACTAAATGAGGCAGTCGCCAAACAACAACTACCTGTAAGAGACAATAAATGCCCAACCCATTGCTAAGAATGATCAGATCCACATGAATTTATTGAAGTAGGATTCAATGGGATTTTTTCCTCCCAGCTTCTCTTTATGCCTGCGTGTTTCTTTATAGGCAACCCCATGCAACTTCCCCAAAATAAGAGATCATTGTTCATTAAGACTTTCTTACTTCGTTTGACTCCTGGGCACTAAGAACATGATTTCCTGATTTTTTTTCCAGATGTGAAGACCGAGAGGATTTTCAACAACTTCCCTATTTAAGTAAGTGCCTGATGATCTTTCTCTCCCCAGTCCTTCTTAGAGGAGGCGAGCAAGTATTCTCTCAGCTACAATTTTGTTGCTGCACAAACAGCAGAAGTAGCTTTGTGGTCAAGTAGAAAATGGGGTTGTGGCTGGAAAGTAATGCACAGCGTAGCCATCAGCTGAGGCCGGGTCCAGAAATAACACTGAAGGCCAGGGTGGAACAGTGATCAGAGGGAGCAGCTACAAGCAGGAAGAGCCAGGCTGGAATTCTGTGAGCCTTTGATCCCTCTCTGTTGTAGGGATTTGTTGGATCAAACGGGAGATTGAGAAAGACACAGGGCTTGCAAACTGGAGCTCGGGAAGGAAGGAAGATTTGTAGCTATAACTAACACCTTTTGTACCGCTTAGGGCATTCACCCAGTCTGATACTTCAGCAAACAGACTTTTTGTGATTGCAATTTGTCTCATTTCTCTTGTAGCAGGTGAAGCCAAACAGTGTGAATTTGAAATCTCCTTCCTCTAAAAGTATTTACAAAAATACCATGTTTCTTTTCTCAGGTTCAGCGTCAAGACAGCCACAGGTGAAAGGGATGTACGGTATGGCAAGACCAAGGTAGATTGTGCACAATAGCTACAGAATATTTTGGTGTCCTCAAAATACAGAAGTCAAATACCCTGCAGTTAATCCAGCATAATTGTAGAGTCCAAAATTGGGGGGAAGGGGCTGATTTTGGAGAGGGGTCCCACTTCATTGTTAACCTCCAAAGCAGCTAGATGATGATGATGATGATGATGATGATGATGATAGTAATAATGCCTTAAGAACAAATGCATACAAAGCCAGAACTGAGAAGACTGCAACAGACAGCAAATGCCGCCTCTGCAAAGAAGCTGAAGAAACAGTGGACCATCTAGTTAGCAGCTGCAAGAAGATTGCACAGACCGACTACAAACAATGGCATCAAAAGTAGCAACAAGGGTGCATTGGAATATCTGCAAGACATACCATTTGCCTGCAAGTAAGAACTGGTGGGACCACAAAACAGACAAAGTAATTGAAAATGAAGAAGCTAAAGTGCTCTTTGACTTTAGAATTCAAACAGACAAGCATCTGCCACACAACTTAACAATTGTTGATAAGAAAGACAAAAAAGTCTGGATAGTGGACCCTGCAATACCTGGAGACAGCAGAATAGAAGAGAAAGAACTGGAGAAAATCACAGAATACAAAGACCTGCAAATAGAAATAGAACGACTGTAGCAAAAGAAAGCAAAGATAGTACCAACAATTATAAGCACCTTGGGTGCAATCCCAAAACATCTGGAGTACCACCTGAAGACCATCGGCATTGACAAAAT